CCTTTAAAACAAAGGACAAGACAAAATACTCTAAAACTCAAATTTTGAAATTGCATTTAACAAATGTATTAACATATGAAATACAAACTTATATATTAGTTTTAATTCAGTAAAATTCTATTTTCTCAATTCAAAAAGAATCCCTCATGTTGTTCCATGTATTTTGAAGATTCTGTCTTACATTTCTACTGAAATTCTCTGAATCTATTCCTACATACTCATCTGTGTCTAAACATTTTCAATTGAATTTTCTATTATATATCCATTTTTGCTAGTATTCCAGGTCTAAAGAAAGGCTGTTTCAAAAATTACATTGGAGGTGTGGCTCAAGTAAAAAAGTACCTGCTTTGTAAACAGGAATCCCTGAGTTCAAACCCCAGTTCCATTAACTAAATTACATTAGTTATAAGGCTAAGAGTTTCTCAATTTCAAAACATAATCTGCCATGTAATCATACTTCCTAAACCATTAAATTTTATTTTATGGTAAACTGGCTTAACTTTAATTCAATACATAGACAAATCATAATAAAATATTAATTCTTGAATAGAAATATGAATATTTAAATTAAGAAATTTTAAATGGCAGAGTGTTTTCATAGAATACAGGAGCTTGAAATTTTTTAAAAATTGTATTCACCTAAAAAACTATTTATTCAAAAAGTCATTGAGCCCCTTTTGTGTGACAAGCATTGAGTGGAAAACTTACTCCATTTAAAGGCATCATTACAACCTATAGTACAAAAGGCTCAATTTCTATACTAAAAATTTTCCTTACCCACAACAATCCTACCCATACAAAGATCAATAATGACTGATGTTTAGGGAGTTCACCTCTCTCTGTTCCTGTCCTTTACCTCTCCTCCAAGAGCATCTAATGTTGTGTGGATCTTCTTGCACACAGCTGACATGCTCAGTTCAAAATGCTTATTTTCTATACTTTGCTTCCAGCTCCACTCCTACTTCTCATGTCCTAAAATCAGAGCTGTAGTGGTTGGTTGATAAATGATCTTTTATTGCAATTTCCTCTAGATTTGCATTGGGAAAGCAGAGGTGTGGGTAAAAAAATCATAAAGGGGAGCCTTTTTATATATTATTAAGCCTTTTAAATTGTGGTAAAAGATGCATAACATAAATTTTAATACCTTAGCCATGTGTAAGTGAACTGTTCAGTGATATTAAATACATTCTCACTGCTTTACAAACATCCTTCTCCAGAATTCTTTTCATTCTGTAAAACTGAAACTGTTTTATACAACTCAGCATCATTCTAACCTATTTTACAGTCACTCATATGTTATGATAGAAATCTATAACTGATTTTCCAGATTTTCTCTGTACTAAAATCTGTGTCTAGTTCTTACAGTGTAATTTGGAAGGTGGAGAAGAGGGAAAAAAGAATATGTGAACCCAATGTTGGGGAGTGAATCTTTTAAGTCTGCTTCTAAGAAACTGTTCACAGTATGACTTTGGGCTCATGAGTGCCTTTATCTGAATCTGTGGAGAGTGAACATCAGGGAACAGATTGGCCAAGGATCCACCAATGTGAAAAGCATCCTTCAGCCTAAACCACTATTGGAATATAGCATTAGCAGTTGCTTGATTCCCATAGCTGATCCCCTTATCTTAGAGACAATGAAATTGTGGGGGAAGAAGACATTAATCTCAGACCATTGCATAGGTTTTCAATGGCCTAAATTATACTGTTTGTCAGTCTGGATTACATTTTTCGTTTTTCAATAACTTTGATATTATGAAACAGTTGAGTATTGATTAGTGAATTTTCTCCATGAAAAGTACTCATTAGTTAGATAATGTCCCATAGCCCCAGTACAACAACAATAAAAAATAAATAGATAGGTAATGCCCCTACTTTGCTATTATTTTAGAACAGAGGAAATAAGGACTTTCAAGTAGTAGTGATTAAAAGATCATCTATTCATTTTTTTGTTTTCATTCAACAAATATGAGTTGGAGACCTAGTAAATGTCAGTCACTACCTATTTGTTAGGTACAGCAGTGAAAAACAGAATCACTGAGAAATGACTTGACTTCTTATTACTTCACATGGTTTCAAGACAAAACACAGCATTTGATAAGAATAGTCCCAAGAAGGCAGAGATGGGTCATCATTAAATGTAATACACCAAAGACAAAAACCACTTGAATCATCTTAATAGATGCAGAAAGAGCCTTTAATAAGATCCAACACCATTTCATGATAAAAGCTACAACATCCTTTCATGAACTAGGAATAGAAGGAATGTACCTCAACATAATAAAAACTATATATGGCAAGCCTATAGCTAACATCATATTAAATGGAGGAAAAACTGAAACCATTTCCTCTTAAGTCAGGAATGAGACAAGGGTGTCCACTCTCTCCACTCTTACTCAACACAGTCTTGGAATTCCTGGGCAGAGCAATGAGACAAGAAGAAGAAATAACAGGAATATGAATTGCAATGGAAATAGTCAAGCCATCCCTGTTTGCAGATGACATGATCTTTTACCTGAAAGACCCAAAAAACTCCATACACCATAAACAGCTTCAGCAAAGCAGCAGGATACAAAATCAATTTACAAAAATCAGTACCCCTTCTATATACCATCAGTGAACAGATTTAGAAAGAATATAGAGAAATAATTACATTTACAATAGCCTCAAAAAAGTAAAATACCTAGGAATAAACTTAACAAAAGATTTGAAAGACCCTTACAAGGAAAGCTATAAACCTCTGAAAAAAGAAATTGAAGAAGACTATAGAAGATGGAAAAATCTCCCATGCTCAAGGATTGGTAGAATCAACATAGTGAAAATGGCTGTATTACCAAAAGCAATCTACATGTTCAATGCAATTCCCATCAAAATTCTGATGACATTCATCACAGAGATTGAAAAATCAACCTAAAGTTCATTTGGAAGCACAAAAGACCACAAATAGCCAAGGCAATACTGAGCAAAAAGAGAAAGTCACAGTATTCAACTTCAAATTATATTATAGAGCCATAGCAATAAAAACAGCATGGCACTGGCACAAAAAACAGATCTGAAGACCAATAGAACAGAACAGAAGACTCAGATATGAATCTACACAGTTATGCCCACCTGATTTTTGACAAAGATGACAAAAAATATGATAGAGTAAAGACAGCCTCTTCAAGAAATGTTGCTGGGAAAACTGGATATTTGTCTGCAGAAAACTAAAACTAGATCCACATCAATCACCCAGTACAAGTATCAACTCAAAGTGGATTAAGGACCATAATATCTGACCCAAAACTTTAAAGCTAGTTCTGGAAGAGCAGGGAATACACTGGAACCAATAAGTATAGGCAATGACTCCATCTATAGAACTCAAAGGGCTAAGAAACTAAGCAAAAGGATTGACAAATGGGACTACATGAAATTAAAAAGCTTGTGCACAACAAAAGAAATGTCTAAATGGAAGAGACAAATATACAGGGAGCTCAAAAAAACTAAACTCCCCAAAAATCAATGACCCATTGAAGAAATGGGCAAATAAACTCAACAGAGCTTTTTCAAAGGAAGAAGTTCAAATAGCAAAAAAAAAAAAAAAGTGAAGAAATGCTCAACATTCCTGGCCATAAAGGAAATGCCAGTCAAAACCGCATTAACTTTACCTTCACTCCTATTACAATGACTACCATCAACAACACAAGCAACAACAAATGTTGGAGAGGATGTGCAGAGAAAGTAACCCTAACACACTGCTGGTGTGAATGTAAATTAGCACAACTACTATGAAAACAGTATGGAGACTCCTCAAACAACTAAAAATAGAACCATCATATGATCCAGCAATTTTACTCCTAAGGATGTACCCCCAAGGAATGCAAGTCAGGTTACAATAAAGGCTCTTGTACATCCATGTTTATTGCAGAATTATTCACAATAGCTAAGCTAGGGAAACAGACAAGATGCCCCACTACTGATGAATGGATTTAGAAAATGTGGTATTTATATGCTATGGAGTTTTATTCAGCCATAAAGAAGAATGAAGTTTTGTCATCTGCAGGTAAATGAATGGAACTGGAGAACCTCATCTTAAGTGAAGTTAGCCAGGTTCAGAAGGCAAAAAGCAGCATATTTTGCCTCATATGTGGAATAGACCTAATACAAATACAGCAATATTATGAAAACAGGTCACACTAAGGGAAGGTCACTTACAAGAAGGGGAGGGTAAAAGAAGGAAATTAAGAAGGTGAATATGCTTGATGTACTCTCTATACAAGAATGAATATGTAATTTTTAATTGGTTGAAACCACCAAAAGAAAGGGACTAAGGTAGAAAGAAGAAAATAGAGGATATGAACCAATTTAGGCAAAAATATACATATATATGGAAGTGCCATGAGGAAACTTCCTATATAGCTATCTTAAACAAGGAAAGATGCCATTTTTTTTCTTTTACAAAATCAGAGAAAAGGAGGGTGATGCAAGTCATGCCTGTGGGATTTGATACCAGTGGGAGAGGGGAGAAAGTGAAAAGGAGGTTGGAGGGTGAATTTGGAACAAATATTCTGGACACATGTATGTAAATGGAAAAATGATACCTGTTGAAACTATTCCAGGAATGAGGAGGGGTGGTTAAAGGAGAATAGTGCAGAGGATGAATTCAAGTATGATGTATTTGATTTATATACTTTTGCAAATGCCACAATGTACTCCCACCAAGCACAACAATTTTTTAAAAAGACAAAAAAAAGAGGAGTCTCAAGAACAACAAAAAAAATCCTTAGATGTCATATAGCTGTCTTTAGATTTGCAAGGGACACTTGCAGACTGATATGTGCTATATATTACAAGGTCAAGGAGAAGGACATACTTCTAACATTTGGGCAGAATTCAGGAAAACATTCACCTCAGTTCCCTCCGTGTCCACCAGGGGATGTAGCTTCCTAACAACAAGCTCATTTCCTGTGTGAGTTGCAGGTTTAGACTTTTTATTCACTATTACTTCAACGTTTCTTCATGTAAAAAATCAAGAACATTATCAGGTGACACTAAAGATGATCGCTTCTCCAGGCTTAGTGACTATGATACTCTTTGTACTCGGTAAGTAAAATGCCTTTTAAAATTTGCCCTCTTTCTTCTGTGATGTCAGCAAAATCTTCAACCATAAATTCATGTAAGAGATTTATTAGCAAGGTGACATAGACCTTTTTCTCCCAGGGAGAGCCCATGGAAACTCAGTGACCCAGAAGGAAGGTGAAGTGACCTTGTCAGAAGGGGCTTTCCTGACCATAAACTGCACTTACACAGCTAAAGGATACCCTGAACTTTCCTGGTATGTCCAATATCCTGGAGAAAGTCTACAGCTCCTCTTCAGAGTCACAAAGTCTGGTGAAAAGGGAAGCCACAGAGGTTTTGAAGCCACATACAATAGAGAAACCACGTCCTTCCACTTGGAGAAAGCCACAGTGCACAAGTCAGACTCAGCTCGGTACTACTGTGTTCTGGGTGACACAGTGGCAGAAACCACAGCGGGAGCTGAGCACAAACTGAGCAGCAGCAGGGACCTGGCTGCTGGGTGTCTGCTCTGGAATCCCTCTGGTCTTAGCACAGTCTGGGGTGTCATCCTCTGTTTCTCTGGTGCTGTAGAATCATACAAACTTCAGAGCAGAATTGGACATCCCCAAACTCAATTCTTCATCAGGGAAACTGAAAACAGTGTGACACTGATAGTTCCTCATCTAGGACCAAAGTAATTTCAAGGTGAACCATGTAAACAGTGAAGTTGGGTGTGCTTATCCTTGTAGACAAAGTCCAGCCTCACATCTTCAGATCACCCTGGTCCACATTGCTGTGCCTTATTACATTTTCAGGGAGAGAAATGTGTCAATGAAGGCAGCATCTGCATAACATCTCCCCCTAAAACATCATGGAGGGGCAGGTGACAGGAAAGCTCTAGCCATCCTTTCTCCAAACTCAGAATTCTTTCTAGAGAAAGAAGAGAAGGGAGGAGAAAAGAACCTCATATATAACAGCCACACAGAGAGGGAAAGGACTTTCATCCTGCAGAGAAAGCGTTTCATGATTGGTTGATCAGAGGAAGACATGGGCTGATGTTCCAAAGGAAGAGAGGGAGGCAAAGCATAAATGAAGAAATGACTGGTCCCTGAATGCATATCTTTGGGCAGTTACATTGGTCAGGTGACTTTGTAACAAAGCCTAAGTGAGCTGGTCTGCAGTGCCAGTGGAAAATTAAGCACATTTTTACCCTGTATCCCATAAACCTTATTTAAAAGACATTAAAGAGCCAAGCATGGTGGCTCATGCCTACATTTCCAGCTACTCAGGAGGTGTAGTTGGGAGGGCTGATTCAATGCCAGCACAGCCAAAAAGTGAGACTCAATCCTATTAGTCTGGGCATGGTGGTTCAGTCCTATAATACCATCTCCATGGAAGATGTGGACAGGACGACTGACGTCCAAGCATGGCCCTGGGAAAAAAGCCTGAGACCCTATCTAAAAAATAATTCAAGCAAAATAGGGCTTTGTATGTGGCTCAAGTGGTAAGGTGTCTGCCTAGTAAGCCTAAGACCCTGTGTTCAAACCCCAATATTGACGAAAAAACATAGTAATGAACTGAAAAGGACATAGACAAACAAAGCATACACTGCAGTGACATCTATAGAAGTTTAGAGGGTGAGAAGTAGCTGAAGGAATGAAAGCTTGCATGGCACATCAGGTAAAGATGACACCTGGATTTAGTGAGAGAAACCAAGGGTACTGTATGTGTGCTGCACCCTCACAGCTAGTCACCCTGGAATCATAAGGGAAAAAGGATGCATGTGTGCGTGTGAGTGTACATATGGGGGATGTGTGTGTGCATGTGATGCCAGTTACCATGGAATCAAGGAAGAGACATGTGTGCATACATGTGTACATGTGAGTGTGCTCATGTGTGTGCGTGTGTGTGAGTGTGCATGCATGTGTACATGTGTGAGTGTGCTCATGTGTGTGGATGTGTACCACCAAATACCCTGAAATTAACAGCACCACATCAGAACTTATTTCTCATAGAAATAATAGCCACAGAACCCATGAAAAAACATGGTATTTTTCCTATCATATGATTTATTTATGTCTCATTTGACAGAAGTCACACCATTCAATAATCAATATTGAATGTAATCTCAGAAGTATGTGTTGATATTGTCTCCCTAAATCTTATTCTCTCTCTTCTTGGTGGTGAACAGGATATAGGGTTTCTGGTCACCCCCTCCCTCAGTGGACTCATTCCTGTGATCTCTTTGAAACCCCATAGTGCTGGAGGGTGCTGATTCCACTCTAACTCCGTAAAGAATCGCCATCTTTTCACAAACTTACTCGGAGCATCCACATACAGGGAGCATCACCACTGATCTTGTGATTTACTTACTGTGCAGCAGTAATGAGAAGTATAAAGTGAGTGGCTAAGAACACAGACTTAAAAACCAGATGTCTGCATTTGAATCTGACCTTGAATGCTTCTGTCTGACCCCCAGTTACAATGGGGATTAAAGTTAATACATGTGAAATCCTGGCTGACAGGAAGAACTGGTGTTAGCTGATAATAATAACTATATAAGGATTTATATATTAAGAAATGGGAAGCCACGTGTTCAGGGAACAAAGATTTGTCCTCTTGTTGGACAGTCATTTAGTAGATAAGCAAGAAAAAAAGGATACATATTCAGAAGACCTTGACGGCCCATCTGTACAATGCACTGCATGCAGACCTTGACTCTTCTAATGAGCAGTATAAAATATTGGTATTACCCAGAATAAAACATAAATTTCAGAATAAGATAAAATGCATAAAAATTTAACCAAAACTTAACATTTCAAGCACACGGTTAGATAAGTTTTAAAGTATCCACAGGAGATAGCCTGCAGTACAAAAAAAGACCTTGTGGGTGGCCGGTTGTAGTGATGCACTCCGTAGTTTTCAGCTACCAAAGAGACAGAGATCATTAAGGATTGCAGTTCAAGACCAATTCTGTTAAAAGTTATTGAGACTCTATCTGAAAAATGACAAAAGCAAACAGGGCTAGGAGGTAGCTTGAGTGCTAAAGCCAAAAAGCATGAGGCCTGAGTTTGAATTACAGTATGCCAAAAGATAAAAAATAAAAATAAAAACCCAGGAGTCTATAGGAAACTGGAAATAAACTTAGATCTTAAGGAAAAGATCCACATTGAATTTATTAATTATATAATTATTTATGAAATACATCAAGTGACAGGTATTTTGTAGATGTAAGATTAATACGAAGCAAACAAATGTGACACCAAAGAGCTTCTCTCATGAGGTTTGACTTTCATTTTGTCCTTACGTGCCAATTTATTTTAAGGAATATCCTGTGAAGATGTGTTTCAATGTATGCAGGCATTTTCCTTCTTTTCTTACTTACCAACAAGCTTCAATATGTGATTAGAAATCATAGGCATTGAAGTTTTGTGTCTGTCACTTACTAAATGATGTGAACATGGGCAGAATTACTTCAAATTACAGTATCTATATTTTATCATCTGCAATAACACGTACCTCATCACATGACTACATGGATGTGAGGACTGAATTAAATTAATTGAATCAAATGATGAAGTTGTGTTATTAGAAATTGTTTTTCAGTGAACAGTAGTTGTTCCTGGGCATGGATGGAATGATGCAATGGAAATAATTTAAGAAAAATCATGAGAAAACTCAAGGCTTAGCTTTCTATTCTGGAGGCTGACTGTGTTATTTCACCATGCTTGTAGCTGAGAGTCACCCTGTATTTCTCATTGAGCTTATGCCATCCCATCTGAACTGACAGTAAGGCGTCTTGGGTGCGTTCTGTGTATCATGAAGGTTTTTCCAATAGAAAGGGTCATTTCTTGCTTCTTAATAAAACTTAATGTAATTTATAAGATGGGTATATACACAGAAAATGATAATTTCCGCTGCTGTTGTAGTTGAATGTAATTTCTAAGACTAATTCACGTAAACTTTATGGACGGCAGGGATCCATATATAAAAACTTAACCCAACTCTGAAGTGCCCTAAACTATGTTTGTACCTGGGAGCTCATTTAACAGTTCCTGCATTGAAGGTAAATCATCTGAGTGAGTGGTACCTGGTTACAATTTATATAAAAGAAGAAAAAGGAAAGACGTAATCTAGGAGA